ACCAATTCAGTAGACATGAAGTTTGCAGAATGAGACTTTGAAAAAGATACTTGTTGCAGTTGTAAACATTCAAAGACCTAAAGAAAGTCAAACTGTGCGTCTTCAAACTGCCTCAAAGCATGAGCTATATACATTTTCCGCAGAAAACCAAAACTAAAAGCATTCTTAGAGACACCTAACAGCAGCAAATCAAACTGTAGTGAAGATACTTCTGCACATTATCGATCTAATAGAGGCAACATTCTAAGTTTGATCATTCAGAAGATTTATCGAGCTAAACTTATTTAAGAGATGAATAGTAACTGTGTGATGCATGATTCCTACTTCTTAGTATACGACCACTTTGTCCATGATGTCAAGTTACGAACACTGACATCTAGTTCAAACATTCAGTTCTTTGCATAAAAGAGTAAAAGCTGACACGAGATGAATGAATGGTTTGGTTATATTCAAAAGTAGCAAGTTTACTAGTTGAGATCTCAGAGACTGTACTAAACATCGAACTAGCAGAACGCAATCTCAGCTAGGACAGAAGAACAGCTGTTCAGTTTCTGCTAGCATACCTGTAAGTTGAACATGGTGTATGATTCCAGAAGTGTAGTTCTGAAGTCCTTCAAATGGATAAAGTTGATTATATATAAGGGACTCGCCGATTGCTTTGTGCCTTAACGTGGATTTATCTTTCCCATATTGAACAACACTGCCAACTTTACTTGGATCCAATGGTTTAATGTTGTCACCACTTTGATATTCCCCTGCAAATACAGTAAAACACACATTCTTAAACTCCGTCTCAAATCAAAGATGTTAGGGCGCTCTAACCAGTTAGCAAAAATATATATCTCACACAATTTAAAATTGCATAAACCAATAAAGAAGATTTTTGTTTCCAACAATATGCTCATATCACTGTCAATTGAAAGTTGGTCGCGACTAAAAAGCATATGATTGTGTATCAAAGGTACCATTTTATCAACTCAAATTTGGTGACAAATAATTGAATTTAACATATCTCAGATCGAAGATGTTAAAGCCCTCTAATAGTTAGTAAACATATCTAATCTCAAACAATTTAAAAATTTGCACAAACCAATAAAGAAGATTTTGATATCCAATATTATGCTCATATCACTGTCAACCAAAAATCTGGCCATGACTAAAAAGCATACAATTATGTACCAAAGATTCCATTTTATCAACTCAAATTGGCGACACAACTGAATTTAATATATATATTTTGGAAGATAAACATTGGATATTATCATAAATAGCTTCTCAGTATCCCAAATAGTATTAGCAGGAAAGAAATAGTAACTCCAGCACTCTGCTAGCTATGTGATTAACTGGAATTGATACAAGCACTAATTCTTCAAGCTAACATCTAAACTCAAACTAATAAAGGGCAGTCCGGTGCACTAAACTCCCGCTATGCGCGGGGTCCGAGGAAGAGCCAGACCACAAGGGTCTTGCCCTGCATTTCTGCAAGAGGTTATTTCCACAGCTTGAACTCGTGACTTCACGTGGAGGTAACTTTACCAGTTACGCCAAGGCTACCCTTTAAACTCAAACTAATAGGCTAAAAAAAGAAGAAAACTTTAGGAAATTTACCTGTAATCCAGGAAATCCAAACAGAGTCATAAGTAGAAGAAAGTGAGACAGATATCTGCTCAGGCTCAAATCCTTTAACTTTCCTTTGAACTCTGGGGTCAGTGTCTGGTAAATCAACAGCATGTCCCCTAAAACTTTGGTCCAAAGGTACAGTCACTGGCTTAAAAGGTCCATCGAGTGTGGTTGGAATTTGACCCTTATTAACCTCAACAAGGCTAACAAAAACCAAAAACCAAACCAAGATTGACACAACAAACCCAGAATACTTCATATCTCATTCAAGAATTTGCATGCCCCAATATAATTAAACTCCAAATCTCAAGAAATCAAAAGGGTCCACAACAAATATATCAACGATTAAAACTTTAGCTCCAAAACCTCAAGAAAATCAAAAGGGGTCATATAATTATAGCAAACAAATTTGCATGTCCCAAAATAATCAAACTCCAAACCTCAAGAATTTCAAGGGGTTTAACAAAAGTATAGCAAAGATTAAAACTTTAGCTCCAAAACCCCAAGAAATCAAAAAGGGTCATATAACTATAGCAAACAAATTTGCATGCCCCAAATAATCAAACTCCAAACTTCAAGAAACCAAAAGGGTTTACAAATAATATATCAAAGATTAAAACTTTTGCAAAATAGCCCCAAGAAAATCAAAAGGGGTCATATAACTAGAGAATATGCTCTTAAAAACCAAATTCTAGGCAAAGAACCTCAAAAAAACAAAAGGGTTTACAAAAAGTATATAAAAGATTAAAACTTTAGCACAATTACACCAATATATCAAAAGGGGTCGTATAACTAAACAATATGCTCTAAGTATGCTCCAAATAACAAAATTGCAGGCAAAGAAACTCAAGAAATCAAAAGGCTTTACACAAAGTATAGCAACGATTAAAACTTCAGCTCCAAAACTCGAAGAAAATCAAAGGGAGGTATATAATTATAGCCAACAAAAGGTCAAATGTAAGAAAGGAAGAAACTTTGGTCAAGTTGGTGAAACTAAAGAATATGCTATAAATATGCTCCTAGTAAAAAATTGAAGCTCGACACTTATATATAATTTGGAAAAGGGAAAACTCTTGTTTCTTTTTATTTTTTATTTTTCTTTATTAAATTGGAAAAAAGAAAAATCTTGTTCTTTTTAATTTCCTTTTCAAGAAAAAAGCAGCAGAGACTGTGAGGAATGGTGTGGTATTTGTTTTTTTAGGCAGGGGAAGCACAGTTATGGCAGTTAGCCTGAACAGAAAAGAAAACAGGAAAAAAAAATGGTGGCATCCAATGAATTTAACCTCGGTTTTAGTGAAATACTATGAGTAGTATATTACCCATAAATTGATGCTTTTGGGTTCCTCTTTTGCTGTTTCTATCCCCACTCCTGCAAATTTCTCACGCTACGCCACCTCCTATTTTATATTTAAAAGAATTCGAATCTATATTCTTTATTTATATTGGGATGAGACTTCTCATTTGATTTTCTTAATTATTCGGGAGCTTAATTAATTTAAATTCGCCTTGAAAAGTCCTAATTTGAAGAGGGTAAACACATACTCAAGAATGAACTAATATTTATCACTTCATCCTAACTTTTGACGTAAGATAGGCAATTTATTATTTCTTGAAAGGTGGCATCCAATTGTAGTGTATTTTTTTTTTCACTGAATTCTTTTAGGATGAGAGTATGAATTATACTTTAATATGTGTTGTGAAAGTGGGTGTGGCTTCCGTGGAGAATAAAATATGGGAAGCGAAGCTTAGACGGTTTGAGCATGTGAAGAGGAAAAACTCAGATGACTCAGTAATAAGGTGTGAGCAGTTGGCTTTGGTGGGTATAAAAGAGGTAGAGGGAGGTCAGGGAAGTATTGGAGAGAAGTGATTAGGCAGGACATGACGCGTCTTCAGCTTACTGGGGATATAGCCCTTGATAGCAGAGTGTGGGGGTCGAGAATTAGGGTAGAAGGTTAGTAGATAGTCGAGCGTATTTTCAGATCCGTATCGGGGGTATTAAGGTTAGTCTGGCAGTGTTTTCTTCTTCTTAGATTGCTAATTTTACATATTTTCCTATTACCTTTCGCATCGGTTTCTTAGTATCTTGTTGTGGTTGATGCTTGTTGCTATTGCTTTCTTCCATTTATTTTCTGGTTCTTAATGTAATATTTTTATCTTTCTGGTCCTTGTTGGTGATATTGCTTATTTCTATTATTCCTTTCCATGTTTCTTGAGTCGATAGTCTATCGAAAATAACATATACCTTTTCAAGGTAGAGGTAAGGTCTACATACACATTACCATTCTTAAACCTCACTTGTGGAACTTCACTGATCTATCGTTGTTTTTGTAGATATAAAATCAGAAAGAAAAGGAAAATCAAGGTACATTGTATCTAGGAGAAGATTGTGAACTGTATTGATGACCATGTTATATAATGAGAAAATCATATCTAGATATCATTTTTTTTTCTCTTTTATATATTACTTCCTAAAACATTGAGCTTTGTTGTTACTTTTCTCAACAAAAAAAAAGAAGAAGTTTTTTGGGAGTTTTTTCTCTTAATATATCTCAGTGAGAAAAGAAACAGGGAGTCAAGTATTTGATTTCTTTTTTTGTTTCTTCCATTATTTTCAGAAAACTAATTTTAGGATACGTGTGTTGCACATATGTATAATGTCTATCAATTAAAAGTATATATATTGACGTTAAAATAAAATGTAATATTGGTTTAAACATTGAAAATAATTTTTCTCACACTAACATAGCAATTGTATTCAATATCTTCTGAATATGCATAGATGGTGAATCAAGTTAAATTAGTTGTACATTATTTTGTAGTTATATATATAATACGATATCTCTTTATGAATACATTTTGTCTCTACTATTTCATTCTTATTTCTTAAAGTTTGCATTTTAACCAATTTAATTCTTAATACTATAACTAATTTAGTTTTTATATTCTTATGATGGTCTTTTTATGAAAAATAATTTATGTATTCTAAGATTTTCGTAACCTTGAAAAATAATTTTACCTATTTGATGAATTCGGAAAGCAATAAAATTAGATTATTTTGCTAGTTAGTTAATTCAAATATTTAATTATCTGTTTAATCACTAAAAAATCTATTTTTTAAGGATTCAAGTTATTAATATTAGCTCATACCATATATTAAATATTTAATTATAACAATACTTTTATCCACAAAAACTCTTTTGTCGTAGTGTTAGTAAATGACTTTTGTCAATTACGTTCTTTCTCTCTTTCTCTTGCTATTATTAAATATTTTCGTAATTATTTTTCTAATTATATTTTAAAATCTATATTGATATTTATATCTAAGAAAATTATTGATCGAAGAATAAAATTAATAGTCAGTGGACCAATCTCACATACTACTCACAACATTTATAGATTAATTACTGATTTGGGATAAAGAACAAAGCAAAATGCTTTATCTTTCTTCAATCTTTTCTTTATTTTATTTTGTTTACATCGTAATTATTCACCTAAAATTTAGCACAATTATACAATCTCCTTTGAGCTAAAAAATGTTCAATTGTAGAAAATTCATACGCATAAAGATTTGGTATTATTTAATCATACTTTAATTATAAAATTTATATAAGGTAAAATTTAATAATTTTAAAGTCCTAAATATAAGGACTTCTTGCTTAATTCAAATAAGAAAAGATTTAATGATTATTAAATTAGATTTAATATCAAACTCCTAAATATTAGCTAATAGAACAATCAAATGACCATTTTGTCTAGTGTGAACTTTATTTTAAAAGAGTAAAAAAGACAAACGATATTTCGTTAATAACCTTCATGCCTTTAATACAATATAGATATAGATAGATAGATATAGATTTAAATATAGATAGATAGATTTGTGATAATGAACGAATAATGTTAAAAAGATTCTAAGAGCCCTTAGTATTTAATTTTCCCTATTAGTTTATAAGGTAAAATCTTAATTAATATTAAAGTCCTTTTTAGAACATCATAACTTTAATAAATAAAGATTTAGTAAATAAAATTTATATGATTAAAACGTCTTATTTGTTAAGAAAAGAATTGTATAACTATTTTGTCTAGTGTAAAATTCAATTTAAAGAATATAAAACCGTCCAAATACTTTTAATTGGTAAGAACAACTCTTCGACGCTCAATAACTTAGTAGTTGATTATATGCAATGTTATTATGATTTAATTTCACAAAATCAAAATGTAAACAGAATAGAAACATGGAAAGTTCAAGTTGAGTGATTTTAACCAAACAAAATTAAGTACTTCTAATAGAAAGGAAACTTGAAAACGTTAATTTACGGTAATTTTCGGCCTCTTCTATGGCCTTTTCCCCTAAATATTTGAAAAAGTATAGTTATAGTTGTATCATAATTAAAGTGAAGTATTTATGTAAGGTAAACTCTTCATTAATTTTTAAATTTAGTTTTTTTCTAGAGTTTAAATAAGAAAAGATATAATAAATAGAATTTTAGTTGGTGTAAAATTCCTAAATATTAGGAAGATAAGTAAAATGACAATTTTATTCAATGTAAAATCTATTTTTAAGGGGTAAAAAAGGCGAACGATATTTCGTTAAGGGCTTTCGTGCTTTTAATATAGTATATAGACTATTTCTCATGTTTATTAATACATTATCTATAACGATTTACATAATATACTTTGTTCTTGGTTTGAAATATGTATATGAATTGAGTATTCAATTTGAATAACAGATAAATTGAATTACATAAAGGGAGTTTTATTACAAAAAATAATAGAGAATTTTCTATAAAACTATATTCGGTTAATTTTGGTTCAACCATTTAAGTGGATGTAGATAATATTTAGTACATAACTACACTACAACACATGGAATATATAGAATTATTATTATCATTGAAACTTCAGATCTCAAAATTCAAAATTCACATGGCAGCATATTATATAATACTCATGTTACAGATTGGAACATGAAAGTGGTTTAAATTGACTTTTTTTTTTAATGAGTTATCTGTTTAATTTGCCTTTTCACAAAGAATATTCAAAATACCATAAGGAATATTTCTATTGTCTAGATGGGAAATGTCATAATTAATTGGAAATCAATTTACTGGCTGAATAAAAAAACTGAAGTAATTACGTACTAATTAGTCAAACTAATCAATGCATTCACTTTGCTTTATGACATCTATATTAAGTTTGAAGGATTTAGTATTAACTCACTAAATTTATTTGTTGCTTCCTTTTTAAGTTTGAACTTGTTGAGACGCAAAGTTTCTATTTAATAAATGACCATAGATTCCATATGATTTGGTTTCTCACTATTAGTATATTTTCCTCCTTATGTCATGCTAATGTATTAAATAAAGGTAAGAATATGTATCACTTAGCTATAGTTAAGTGATGAAAAATATATAGACAATATATTTTATTGCTCCTAAAAATAATAGTCGATAAAATGTATATTTTTTATATATAATATATATATACAAAAATATATATATTTTATATATTTTTAGGTTAACGAATATAATTAATTTCGACCGACCGATCAATTCTGTATTTTGCTCAT